ATCTAATGGATAAATGAAATGCTGCTCAATAATTTGAAAATTAAAAATAGAGTTAGAGTAAAAACAGTTCCAGTATCATTTTATAAATGAGTCAGTGGTTAATGAGATAACAATATTTAAAGTTTATTTTAAATTATAATATAAATACACTTATACTTTCAATTTTTTAAAAAGTTTTTATATTTTAGTTTCTCAATAGCATATCAAACATTCTTTATACATTGCAATCTTAACCAATTCCAACAGAAAAAGAACAGAGCTTACTATTTTTTTTTATCAAATAACCAAACACAGCAATTTCTGCCAATAAAAGAATTGTTTCCACATTTTTGAAAGTTTCATTTTTTTCACTCAGAAGATTACCATACTGAGCATCTGCTTATAAATACAGCATGTACTAGTACATTTATTCTTTACAGAACAGTTTCCCTCTGTAACACCTTTTAAAAACTTTTTCATCTTTTCTTACCTTGGAAAAACAGAGAAAACTTATAATAAATGGCAATGTCTTTCTTTCTCTAAAGTGGAAAGAACACAAGTGCTTGTTGCTAACAGAGGAAAAATAAATTAGCTCCAATGTGCAACCGTCACTTTCGAATTACTATATGCATTCTTTTATTTCCCCACAACACTTTTCCACCCCGATTTCTAATGGTTCAGTTCATAAAAGTCCACTTCAGTCCCAGCCCCTACACCAATAGCACAGCGTTAATGCAGCCATCATTTTCAGGGTTATTTGTAATCTGTGCATATTTTCCCCACACCACTTTTCCACCCTGAGTCACAAGGCCCAGTTCACTAATGTTCACTTCAATGACAGTGCCCTTGGTTAGCACTCCTAGTGAGGTATACAGGGGGGAGCTGGGGTTCTTCTTCACTCCTATAATAGGGAGACAGAATGTGGCTTTTAACTCGGGGTGTGTCACATGGGCTTTCTTGTACCTCAGTCCCATTGGGCGAATAAATCGTTCATATTTTGGAGGTTTTCGCGTGAACCCATCCCCAACAAAGCATGGTTTGGTCACCATTCTCTTCCAAGCTTTCCGCTTGGATTTACCAGTCCGTACAACTTTGAAGACTTCAGCCTCGCTGACGCCTCGAACTTTAGGAAGTGGCACCTCCCACTTGCCAGCTTTTTCTTTCCGTTTTTGTTTCACCATGTTTGATAAAACCTTGGCTCTGGACTGTCCTTCGCGGTCCAGGAGATAAGCAGGCACAGCGCCCTCTGGGACCACATCATCCTTCTTCTGTTTGGTTTTTCGTTCTTCGTGCATTTTGATGGTCTTTTTCATCTGGACCTTCTCAGCATGTCGTTTCTTGTTGTACAACTTTGCCTTCAGACCACGTAACTTCTTTGCTTTCTCTGCCATCTCATGGGGCTTTCGGCTTTCTTTCTTTCTCCTTGAAAATAAAATTTAAAAACAATGTAAATTTTCTTTTCAATTCCACTGAATACTTATCATATGCATCGAAAGACTTCTCTTTTTAAAACCAGACATTTTGAATAATTTACTTTTTCTTTTAATATATCTCTATATGCAATATCTTATCATAAATCAACAATCATTTACTAAACAAGATGGAAACATAATGATCTGGTTACAATGGAAATATTTCCTGTGGTTTCATACATTTGATTCCAGTCCTGTGTAACTGGCACTTTTTCCAAATTTTACTCTGTGCTTGCAAGAAGAAGGACATGACAGACTGGGCAATAATAACACATTTAGAGTCTCAATCAAATGTTTCTCTCATACATTGTTGTTGCCTACTGGGGTACAGTAAACAAGCTAAACAATATCCACCTATCCCCCAAGTCTCTTATTCTTAATATTTAATATACTGTAACCAAAATTATGTTATTATTATGTGATGACTTTGACCAATGTTTCTGCTATTCAAGTAAATTAATTTGGAAATTTATCCACTTATTTCCTTTTTTTTAATTTAACTTTTATACTTATTGACTAGTAAGATTACAGCATATTTTCAACCCAGTGATGGCCCCAGCCCTCACAATATTCCAATGACAAAGTTTCATGCAAAAAACCTTGTTAAGTTTGTAAATAATTATGTATCCAAATAGCCCAGACACTGATTAAAGTCACCTAACAAACTAATTTAGAAAAGATACTGTTAAATAGTGGAGATAAATACTGTCAAAGTGCCCTTGTGGGAGTGCAAGATTGAATGACTTTATGAATGTTTTTTTTTTTTAATTAAAAATGTATTTGAGCACTTACTTTTTCTCGTGGTAATCCAAGCGGTAGCCATGCCGCTTGCGATGGAGCTCTATGTGCTCGTTCTGTGGCATATTTAGGAGTTGATGCGGTTACTTGAGCAAGAATCTGAAAACAGGAATTTACGTTGTTGTTCGATGAATCGTTAATCATGTTTATTAAAACAAATAACTCCTTATTTACCTGTCCACAATTAAACACACAATGAAATATGTAAACGAGAGATTTATAAACAGACAATATGAAATACTGGACTTGCCTTCAAATAATTTTAAAACGTGTCGAGAAGAAATCTTGAATACTGATTTTAGGAGCCACGTCAGCTAATTGTCTCCAGAGGTTATCGAGGAAGGGCTTTACTAAAGTAACTGTATATTCCATCATTATAAGTTCAACTTTAATAAAACATAACTGATCTTACCTATTCAATTTCGACTGAATGTGGAAATTATCTTGTTGACCACGAGGGAACAACATGGAAGTCTTGCAGTATCGCTCGCTAGTTTATCTCCAATGAAGTTGAAAACGAGGCTACGTGAGGACGAGGTGAGGAAAGTTTATTATTGTACTTTAAAAGTACCCAGGTACTCTTTACGTCTTTTATTTACCATGCTGATCCCTTAGATTACTTCGAATATGATACATATGGCAGGTTTTTAGAGAGACATGAGAAATCTAGAACGGGAGACTAGATTTGATTCTAGGGTCCTGCAAACAAACTTGCACTGAATGAAAGTTGGAAATATGACTTGGAAATTATACTGTGAGTGTTAACAGGGGGCATTCTCGTAGCCTCCAGACGTAACTTCAGATACATTTCTTGCACAGAAGTTCTAGCTTTACAACGAAGAACATGCACACGTATTAATGTCCATGGCTGCAAAAGTAAAACTGTGGTGTTAGCAAACTCCAATCCCAAAGAATCTCTGTAGTGTAATTTATTACTGAAATAAATTACAGCAGCTACATGTAAATGCAGTGTCACCATCTATAACAACACAATTATTGATTGAAGTGGTCTTTTTGCCAGAGTGGTGAACACGATCTTGATGTGACTCTGATGGGGAGTGAAAAAACCCAGAAGATCCATCATTCTGCAGACATGTCTACTGTACATTTGTCATAAGTTCATAACATGTAGTCATAGCACTATAATAGTACTGTAGTTACTTAACTATACACAGGGATGGAGGGATGCCATCTTCTGGCAGATGGTCAGAATTTTTCTAGTTTTTATTAACGGGCATCATATTTTTCTGTCGGAAAATGGTCAAAATTTGAGGATGGATCAACAGATAATTTGAAAGACTGTCAGAAAATATCTTTGGATCCGTCCCTGCTACATTACAGTGTTAAATTTAAGGATTAACTGCCTAGTATTTGGTATGTTGTAAATAGTTGAAAGTCTTTGGAGTCCTTAACCGTCTTCAGAGACAAATATTAAATAACACTAAAAGGGATTGTTTATCATATCAGATGATCTTTTTTTTCATTTCCAGGATGCATCAAGCCTTAAGCCAACAGGTGGTAGCAGGCAACAAGAGCAAGCAAAGAGGGTCATCAAATCAGTCTCCATACTTACATATCTTACCAACAGACTAATGTAACCAGGCAACCAAGCTGCTGTAACCAAGTAAAAACCAATGTTACTAGGCAACAAGTTAATGTGTGTTGATAACTGAACTAATAAGAATACAGTCCACATGCTGGATTCCCGTGACCTGCTGCCCATTCTTTTTACCCACAATCCTCTCTGTCATGGGGTCCATCGGTGAGATCGAGGTCTGTCTCCCCGTCCCTGTGTTTGTGGCTGCTGTGAAACTGACCCAGGAACAGTCCGTGGATTACATAGGAGCAGATAAGCATGGTTAGTGCGAGAGAAGAAAATGGCTTGGATGTGCCTTCTGGTCTCATTTTAGTTTAAATTTTAGAATTTTTATATGGAAACTTCAGCACTTTTTGTAAAATCTTTAAATATTATGAACCTTTTTTTTTTTTTTTTTTTTGAGGACATGCAATTTTTTTGTAAAATCTTTAATCATTATGAACCTTTTTTCAAGGACATTGTATCTAATTTTATTGTCCCAAATGAATGTCACCAGTCAACAACAGGGATAATTCAAAATTTAAAATTAAAAAGACCAGTTCATAGTTCATAATTATGTCCACAATTTTGGATTTGGGTTACCATGGTGATAAAGAGGAACTTTCTCTGAAATTAAAGACTTGCTACTAGTATATAAAGGTCCGATGCTCGTTATGTTAATTTAAGAAAAAAATATTTTAAAAAAATAAATGAAGTAAAGTAATTAATAACTTGCCTTTGTTTTGGTTAAACATTTTCATTTGGGTAATGTTCTTCAATAGTCTGCATTAAAGATTTTTCTCATTTCCCCAGGTCTCTTGTGAGATATTATTTAAAACATTTTAATATAGGAATAAAAGTAACTTGAAGTTTAAATTCTGTTATAATTGTACCATAGGAATTTTGTAACATTGTTTGGTGGTATTCTCTGTCTTCTTAAGATGAATATTTTTATGTATTTTTTTTTATCCAAGTTTTATATGAAGTGCAACAGATCACTAACATATAATTATGTTTTACTCTATCCTGGTTGGTTTATGGATTTGTTTTCTGTTATAGGTGACTATAAGTATGGCCTGCACATAACACGCAGTAACAAGATAGTGTCCATGAAAGTCTCCCTGCTGCGCTCTGGGGACAGCGACGGCCATTTCAAGATTCAGATTGGGGATGTCATGCGAGTTGTTGCGCCTTCTAGTGACCAATCTCATTCAAACTCTCCTCACCTTGAGGCTGTTTCTTCACCAGAAAAATACATCGAGGTATCCAAAGAGCGTCGGTCGTCACCAGACAAGGATGTGGAGTGTCTTGGGACTACTTTTGCTCCAAATCCAAGGCGTAGTCTTGCACCAGAATATACAGGAACACGTAAGCGTAAACTAATGGGACGTTTTATTGGTTCTCTCACTTCTGCTCCCCCGAACAAAGTCAATTTACTGTCATCGGCTTTAAGGAGAGATTCTCAGCAAAATGTGAGTGGTGAGTTACAGCAAAGACAGTCTAGTGGAATGGTCAACGGTGGTGTCCAGCCTTCCCTTGACCACCTGACTCCCTCTTCTCCCCCATCACGGCAAAGGAGCACCTCCCACTCCTCCGAGGATATCAATAACTCCTCTCAAACTGACCTGAGGATCACAGATGTGAGGACAGATTCAGCGAACATTAATTTCACAACCCCCAATGCTCCCACAAATAATGCTTACCATTCCCAGAATTCCATGCCACAGGCACAGGCAATATACGAGGCAGGCGAGTATTTCAGTTTAATGAACTCTAGGATCAGTCCAAGTGTAACGTCATTAAATGCCAGTATGCAAAGTGAGGGTGCAAGTGACACTCCGCAGCAGACTGACCCTCAAGGTCAAGTTTATATTCCTGTGACCTTGAAAAATGATGGTCAAGGTCAAGGTTATGAGGGGGTGCACATAGAGGCTAGTGACTCTGCAGCGACTTTCACCTCCTCGAATGTATTGTCTTCAGTCACCACTTATGAAAACAAATCTATGCCTTTTGATAACCGATCTCTTGCAAAGAAAGTCAAAAGGAAATATGTCAGCTGTCGATTTTGCCCAATATGCAACACTCCTCAGAGAAACTTACACACGCATTTGGAGCGCGTGCACCATCTCAATCGTGACGCTCGCCAGGAGTGGTTGCAGAGAGAGAAAATGGCAAGGCTAGAACGAAGGAACAATTTGGTGCGACGGATGACCCTGCCTCATGTGCCAGTGAGTTCTGAGTTACCCCAGTCCGATCAGACTGTCAACGAGGAGGGATAAATGTGGATAGAACTGATACCAGGAACCTGTTCTTCAATACAACTTTAGCACAAAAATTGGTCTTAAGTTTTAGACCAAAGATATAACCTTCTTCAGGTTAAGATAGATTCAATAAAAATCCAATAATGAATAAAGTAGGTTGTGATCTACAATGTAAACCTTGTCTGCCAGGCTTTAAAACAGGTGCAATGTTTCATTTATTTAAACAGCTGCTGATATCATTTATGTCAAAGTAAATTAAAATTTTGGTCTAAAGGTTTTGGACAATTTCCTGGTGGAATCTCCATAATGAGGCAAGCACCATGGCAGATGGCTATGGCATGTACTAACAGAGACACCTTTACCACGAAGTCATATCCTACCGAACTCACCTATTTACTGGTACCCTATTTTTACCTATTTTTCAATGCCTAGTTTTGTATGCGGTGTCTAACCTTTAAATCCTGTCAAAGGACTGGAGTTACATGTTTTGTTTTTTTTTAACTGAGAATAGAGAAACTTGTATATAGGTTTAATAAAACTATAAAAAATAATCTTCCACACTGGAAGATTGATGTAATGCTCACTGGAAGGTATAAATTTAATTTTGTATCAGAGAATTGTCAAGAGATTTGTAATTATGTGCAGAGAAATAGTTAATCAGTATGGTTATTTTTCATGAAATCATAATGATCATTATTTTATTGGAATTCTACAAAGCTTTGCTTTGGGAGTATGACATGACAAAATGTTTTGTTAGCAATGAGGATTGAGCTGGGTTTGTGCTAGAAAGTATGTTTTGTGAATAATCTTATGTGAAAAAGATGGCTTTTAGAAACTGAAATAACATGGTGTTTAAATTGAGAATAATTACTATGTACATGAAGGCATTCTTGAAGGGTCAAATGTTGTCGTGCAATTATAAGAGAGGTTTTCAGTTCTGTTACTAAAATATTTAATATTTAAGGCAGAAACAGAACAGTCATACTTTTGTAGGTTCAGATATTGTCTTTAGTTTTTTAGATATTTGATTTTATTACGCAACAAAATACAAGATGTATACAAGATGTAGATTAACCCACGAATGAATATTAACACTACATTGTGTAATTTTATTTGTATAGACTCTCTGATTATTTTAATGCATTTTATTTTGACAGCAGTCTGTTTTCTTTGACTTACGTTTTAATTTTTTAAAAATACATGGTGTGATAATTACCCAAATAAGAAATTTATATGATAATAGATATAGTTACTGCAACAAGTGGAAATGATAGCAAGAAAGGCATCGAAAGAAAATTAAAAGGTTAGAATCTCATTTCTATAATTTCGAGGTGGCCTACTTACAGACTTCTTGCAGGCTGAATAGAATTTCAGTGCAATCAAGAAACCAAGATGCCTTGGTATCATTCATAGAGCGCATTCAGAGCTGCAGACTAACAGCAGATCAAATATGGCGACAAACTAAAAAGTTTGCCACTTAATTCCCATTTAGACACTGAATAGATTCCCTGAGGGAATTATGCAACAAGTATCCAAGTGGGTCAGCCATATTTGATCTGGGATCAGTAAGTCCACCGCTCTGAAGGCGCTCATATACATGTAGAGAGATCAAAAAAAGATGATTTTAGACTGGAAACCCCCCACAAACTGTCCCTATAGGATGGGGCATTCTGGACACATGGAATCATATTCATTGCTACACATTGTTATAGCAGTGCCAAGATAGAAGTTTTATTACTTGCTGCATATTTTTCACATACAAGGCCTATGTAATGTGGTATATGCATGGAGTTATAGGTTTAGCAGATTTATTTGCCAAAGTGTTGAATTCAGCTAAAAACATAATATTAGCGCCATGCAATTAAAAAAAACCATTACTAGTAACCAGTAAGACATTGCAATATTTGTTAATTAGTTATCTGTTTATGTTAGATATAATGCTTAATCATAAATGCAGTCAATTCTATGTACAATTCTATGTATTAAAACCTCTCTTCCACTCACCCGAGACTGTGATGGTTGCTGATGACGTGACAGTGACATAAGTCATAGAGGATATCTAATATTGCAAATGTTGGGGCAATATGATGGGAGTTGAATTATGTCCTACATTGCTGTTTAATTAATGCTGCTTAATAAACTACACGGTTGTTGTTGGAGAACTACTCGAGCAACTCTCCTAGGCTGTAATTATATATACAGTAATTTTAAAGGCAATACATAGATTGTAAAAAAATATATATATAAATCATAGGTATACTGTATTATATAAATAAGGCAAGAATTCAGTAAGGTATAGTGAACAGGAGTTTATAGATAGATATGTAGATGATAAGAGTTCTTACTTATAAAGATATTTTATATAACAAATACTAGTGCCACTAATAGCTGGTAAAAGTTAATAATACAGATTTGTACAGAGAATGTTCAGATTATGTACAGAATATATGTTATATAAAAGCAATAATACAATCGAAATGCATGTGTGTATTTACATCTTGATTGATAAAAGAGTAATTAGCCTGATCAAGATTCCGTTCAGTGGTATATACCTACTCCCAGGGTGGGGACCAGTCCTGTGGTGTCCTCTGACTCTCAGGGTGGAAACCAGTTCTATGGTGCCCTCTGACTCCAAGGGTGGGGGCCAGTTCTATGGTGCCCTCTGACCCCCAGGGTGGGGGCCAGTTCTATGGTGCCCTCTGACTCCCAGGGTGCGGGCCTGTTCCGTGGTGTCCTTTGACTCTCAGGGTGGGGACCAGTTC